TCTCTCTCTCTCTCTCTCTCTCTCTCTCTCTCTCTCTCTCTCTCTCTCTCTCTCTCTCTCTCTCTCTCTCTGTGAATCAGTCACAGCCTGGCCATCTTTGGCTTTCTGAAAGGGCCAGAAAATAGTTATGAAGTCTCAGAACAATTTTGTGCTTGGCGGGCCGTGAATTTTTTATTTTATTTTTCCAGTTCCAGACCTACCGGACATATCCGCCTGGACATCCAGACACGGTCGGTCCGGACTGGCCTCTGGACGTCCGCATCGTAACCGTGCCTTTTGTTCTTTTTGCTTTGATTCTATCTGATTCTTTTCTTTTTCTTTTTCTTTTTCTTTTTCTTTTCTCGTTCTATCTGATTCGAGCTCTTTCCACGTTCTTAAATCTTGAATCGTCTTTTGTGTGGAGAGGTGGACTTCTCGAATTGGGAATTGCGATGGAGAATGATCTTGTCTTGATATGAATGCACGGAACTACTTTGTTTTTGGTCGCAGCGGGGTTGGAACGGACTGCTGCTTTGAGATTGGCAGTTAGGTCATGTGAATCCTATTTTTGTTTCTTGTTTCCGTAGCGCAGTGGGACCGGACAATTCGAAATTTGTCTCATGGCGGGGTTGGACCGGCCCTTGAACATTTTTTATTTTTTTATTTTTTTAATTTTTTTAGTTCCGTACCTATCGGACCGGATATCCGCCCGGACATGCAGACATGGACGGTCCGGACTGGCCTCCAGACGTCCGCATTGTAACCATGCCTTTTGTTTTATTAGCTTTTATTCTATCTGATTCTTTTTTTTTTTTTTTTTTTTTTTTTTTTTTTTTTTTTTTTTTTTTTTTTGTTCGTTCTATCTGATTCTAGCTCTTTCCACTTTCTTAAGTCTTGAATCTTCTTTTGTGTGGCGAGGTTGGACTTCTCGAATTGGGAATTATGATGGAGAATGATTTTGTCTTGGTATGAATGCACGGACCTTCTTTGTTTTCGGTCGCAGCAGGGTTGGACCGGACTGCTGTTTTGAGATAGGCAGTTACATACAGTGGGACCCGATGATTCGAAATTTGTCTCGTAGCGGGGTTGCACCTGACCACTGAAATGTTTCTAAGTTTCAAACAATGTGAGGAATGTGGGCAGGTAATAAGTAAGCAGACTGCGGAAGGGAAGTTTTCTGCCTTTGTATTTCATAACAAAAAAATGCATTATTCCATGGAGTGCACACCATATTAACAAGGGAAAATTTTTGAAATGCCCCCAAAGTTTGCATTTATTTGCGGCGAGCCCCTGTAAAGGCCGACTTACCCTGTGGTGCCCCTCGGGCCTCTGAAATTTTCCGCAGGCCCCTGTCAGCACGGGGCATAACTTTCCGATATGCCCTGACTGGACCGCTGGTGGTGTTTCGTCGGTTGGTCCTTGAAATACCCTCACGAGGGGCACACATCTTTCTGTGATGCCCTTGCAGCAGTGGTGGCAGGAATTCGAATTCAATGTGGTAGGCATTCCACCGCCACGGAAAAACCGGTCTGTATATGTGTGTGTGTTTGACCAAATGTCTGGTGTTTCCGTGAAACGTGATGTGATCAGTGAATCTCGCACAATAGTGAGAACCTGAGAAAGATTAAAACTTGGTTAGCGAGGCCACGCACATCACATGTGCGTGCTCAAAGGCGGTATTGTAACAGACGACGTCAAGTTTTGACTATTGGTACCACGATTAGAAGTCAATATCGTTGGATTATCTGAAGCAATGTTGGAGCCTGTGTAGCACATAGCGCAAGAGGGCGCCTTGAATTTCATGCATTGCTCGCCAGTAGGGATTACCCACGACCTTGGAAAGGCGCGCATAAGTGGAGTTCGGTAGGGGTAAAAGTCGGGGATTTGCGCCGCCGAAAATAGTAAGGGTGTGATTTTAGAAGGGGGTGGCGCAAGAGGGCGCCTTGACTGTCATGCGTTGCTCGCGAGTAGGATTACCCACGGCCTTGGAAAGGCGCGCACAAGTGGAGTTTGGCGGGGGTGAAAGCCAGGGATTTGCACCGCTGAAAATAGTAAGGGTGCGGTTTTAGAAGGGGGTGGCCGATTGAAAGCGGCATGAGCTTGGTGTGATGGGCGGTGTGCACGGCTGCCATGAACGGAACCTGGCCCTCTGTGCAGCGAGAGCGGGAGCTCGACGGCCATGGGTTCGCTTGATAGGCGAAGGAGTGGCCTTGGGGTATTTCGGTAGGCCCGCACACGACACACAAACCATTTAGTTCAGACTTGGGCCAAGCCCTCTTGGTTATGACACTGGACTTTCGAAATATGGACACGGGATCAAGGCCAGCAGTTGGCGATGAGGGAGCGACAGAGCATTATGGAGGAAACTGAGGGTTTGAGGGGCTACCCCCTTAGTTTTGTTGCCAGTCCCGGCCGCTGGTCCGTCGGCCGTTCCCGTGTCAATGATCCTTCCGCAGGTTCACCTATGAAAACCTTGTTACGACTTCTCCTTCCTCTAAATGATAAGGTTCAATGAACTTCTCACAGCACGCCCAGCGGCAAACCGCCAAGATCACGGCAATCCAGACACTTCACCGGACCATTCAATCGGTAGGAGCGACGGGCGGTGTGTACAAAGGGCAGGGACGTAATCAGCACGAGCTGATGAGGCGGGATCAAGGGGGTGCTAGCTGTCCCTCCCCGCCTCCTCTTTCTTCCCATTTTCCTTTCTTTCTTATTCTTATTATTATCTATGCAATCAGACTCGTTTTCAAACACACTTTTCACACATGTAAACAGTAACGCAGCACACTGGCGACATGCGCCCACTCAAAACTCAGAGATATGGTTTTCAGATACGAGTTCACTCCCAATTGGCTATGGCGACCTCAGCGCACAAACATCTCACTGTTCACATACACTGGATCACCCTGGATATCCCACACGCATCACTCTAACACCCGAGCACACACACACACCACTACTAACTATAGCTATGGCAGCTATGGCTGCCTCTAACCTATCGCTATGCTAACTCCTCCTCT